AAGAGAAGCATCTCTGTCCGAAAGCGGCGGGTACAAGCGGTGCTATTTTGTACTCGCTGCAACTGGTGCACTTATCTCCTGCACTGCTGACACCTACAGAAACCCAACACCCCCCACACTTGCAAGGTTCCCCCCACCCCTATTGCATTTCTTTGCGAAAAGGGGACCCAAGAAAAACCAGCACCAGGGAGCAGTCAAAGTCCAAGCGGGAAAAGCAAATCCCCCCCCTCACCCCTATTGCATTTCTTTGCGAAAAGGGGACCCAAGAAAAACCAGCACCAGGGAGCAGTCAAAGTCCAAGTCAAACTCAGGCCAAGTGGGAAAAGCAAATCCCCCCCTCAGCCTCCCCTCCAGGAGGCAAATAATGAGCATCCCCTGAGAGCCACCCGTGGGCTGAGCAACCTCCCCGGCGCTGCTCTGTTTGCTGGAGGACACAGTGCAGCGAGGGGCTCCAGACCAGCTGGTGCGCTCAGCACTTTCCAGCAGCTTTTATGTAAAGAGCTCGAGTTCATTAAACCGCCGGCCTGCGTGTTATTGCCAAGGCTCCAGCACAGACCCTGCGCAATCCCCCAGCTCCCCCAGCAGCTTGCGGGTCCCCGCTGCCTCCAGCTCCTGCGGATGCTCCAGCGGCAAGGCTGAGCCCTCCGCACCCTGGATGCTGCTCTGAGGGGGGGTGAGAAGGGAAATTAAGGATGAGGCCAGTGCCTTAAATAAGTGCCTTACGTTGCAAAGCAGGCATCTGGCCTATTTCAGGGCCTGCCTCCTTTCTCATACAACGTACACGCTTTAAAAAACCCCCCGCTAGCGTGTAATACAAGCAACAGCTGATGCTACAGAGGACAAGCTGCCCCCTCACTTATTTCAATGCAAAGGTGTGTGGGTGGAGAAGTGCGGAGTCGCTCTTAGATGCTTAAAGAGCAATCCAAGCCTCGATAGTTTTGCAAACCTCCTCTCCCCTTCCCCCCACATGTCCTCAAAGAGCACAGATCGCTGTTTTTGAAAGTTACTGCTCAGGATGTGGGAAGGGAGAGAGCGAGGCGGGTTGTTTTTCAGGCTGAGCCTGCCTCCCTGCACCATCCCCCCGGGTGCCAGCACTGCTGCGGTCCTGCCGGAGCACGAGCCGCTCGCCAGGGATGGGCAAGACAGAGACGCGCTGCTGCGTGGCCTTGGGGACACCTGGGATCCTCCCTCAACCCAAGCTGACGCTATCGGGCTGGATGAGCCCTCTGCAAGAGCGCTGGGGATGGTGCCAGCGGGGAGCCTGGCATCACCCTCTCCCCCCAGCCCTGCCGCAGGGCACAGCCTGGCTGCTGGCCCCTCTCCCAGAGTACAGCAGGGACACGCTGCTCCCCCTTGCTTTGTTGTTTTTTTTTTTTTTAATGCACAGGTTCAAAAATGAGAGGTAACAGCATTGCTGTAAGGGGGCAACGCAGGAACAGAAGAGCCCTCCGAGGCAGAAGCTAATTCCTCCCCTTCCTCCATTCATTTTCCATTCCTGCTGCTGGGAGGTGACATCCCCCTTTGTGGATAAGATGCTCTTGCAGCACCGCAGAAAGGCAGCCTCCCCGTCTGAACCATGGGGCCTCCCACGGTCCCTGCCCTTCCTCCTGCTGTTTGCTTTTCAGGGCATGAGAAGGAAGGGTGGGCACAGCCAGCCCTCACCTGAAGGAATAGGCACATATTCACTCCGAGGGGTTTCTGCATGTTTTTACGCACATGGCAGGACCGTCCCATACGCCACCGCAGTATTTGTCTGCAGCCGCAGTAACCTTTGCTCGTGGTGCTCGCCGCTTTTCGCCTGCGGCTGTCTGACACTGGCCAGGGAAGGAGTTGTGCGCTGGCCGTGTGGGCTGGCAGCCGGGCTGGCCCCACGCTCCTTTGGGGGTCCTTGCTCAGGAACGCTTCTGACTCCCGTAACTCACCCACACCCTGGGCATCACCCATCGGAGAGCATGGCCCAGTTCAACACCCCGTGCCCCAAGAGTGCCGCAGTTTCCCCTCCCAGCCAGGTGTCAGACCTGCATGGAGGCACCCCGAGGAGCACCCACAAGTGCTGGGTGTGCCTCCCCAGAGGCAGCTGCACCCCAAACCACTTCACTGCCAGACAGCAGAGCAGCCTGTCCCTGCCGAACTCTCTCGTCCAGAGTCGCAGGGAAAGGGACAGCTCTGCTTTGACGGTCCATCCGTCTTTCTGAAGCTCCTTCACGCTCTGTTCAGGAAAGGCCGGAGCAGCTGAGGGCTATTCCTGGGGAGCCTAAAAATGCCGTGGCTGAGTCAGCGCCAAGGCCTTGCCCTGCTGCTTGTGCCCACAAGGCCATTGCATGACTCCCCTAGCAAACCCTTGCCACTGCCTCGCTGCAGGGCTGTGCCATGCCAGGATGCTGCGCTGCCAGCGGCCCCCTCGGGGGAGGCAGACAGACAGACAGGCAGAGACAGGCACGTGCGGAGGCAGAGTCACGGAGAAGCAGCCCAGCTTCCCTGCTGCTCCGCCAGCCCGGACATGCATCAATGTCACGACAAGGGCTGTGACAGCAGACAGTTATCTCACTTCCCCGCGCCGCAGGCTGGAGCGGTGCCAGCCCCCAGGGCTTTTGTTTCCATATCCGCACAGGCCAGCGCAGCAATTGCAAGGGACGGTTTCAAAGCTGTCTCTGGTGGAGGACTCTGGTCCAAAGGCAGCACCGACACTGCCTTCTCCCACCCACGTCCCATCGCTCGCTCCCCTGCGTCCTCGGGGCATGGGAAGAAGGGCACGGGACAAACATGGCAAGTCCAGGACAATAACTCCTGAGCTTGTACCAGTCGCACAAAGAGCAAATGCCCCACAAGCGCTGCCCTTGGCTGCGATCCCACACACAGGGACTGCCCACCCTCTCTCCATATCTGCTTCCCTGCAGCTGGGAGCTCCCAGCAGTTGCGTCTACTTTGACACAAAAAGCAGAAGAGGACAGGTCAGTGACTGTAAGTACCTGGCATGCTGCTCCAGACTGATTGCTGGTAGCTGGGACCAGGCTCTTCCCCGTAATTGCACTGTAGCTTTGCAAGACAGGACAGTAACGACACTACAACACACCTCAGCTTTCAAGTGCAGGACTCTACAGTCCTACAGGACAGATTTTGCCTCTAATTCCTTACGTCTCTGATAAGTCATGCACTACCATTTCTTGCCTCACTTGCCTGGAGCTGTGGTAGTTCTGGAAGACTTCAGCTGGCCCGTTTTGTCCAGATCACACCCCAGGCACGCAGCTGCGCAGCTGCCAGCTCCATGACAGGCTCCAGCGTAGAGCGAGCAGCCCAGCCCTGCCGCCCCAGCCCCGGGCATCTGCTCAAGTCTCAGGCTGGCAGAGTCTGCAATACCAGCGGTTGACAGACAGCAGCACTGCACTGGGTGATACACAAGAGTCTGGGTCCCAGAAAATTAAGAGCCAAAAGACTAGGGCTTTCCATGAACAGTTTAAGAGCTGGGAATACCAAAGTTTGGCCGTCTGTTGGAATTCAGGCCTTCAAAGGGGACACTTCAGAGCCATGAAAGCATGTAGCCACCAATGCATTTTCCTTCCATCCCTCCCAGTCCACACTGGTCCTAGTTGTCAAGGGGATGGCTCCCAAGGGCAACCTCACAAGAACCAACTGCCAAAGTGGCTATCAAAATCTCCCAGGGGCTGCAAAACCAACAAACAGCACACCCGCCTCTTCCCACTCCTACCTCCTGGCTGGCTTTTGCCACTGCTCAGCTTTACCAGGACAGAACCGACCACAATATCACAGCTCTCTCTCGAATCATTAAATATTAGAAACAAGTTGGAAGGTGCATTTTTCAGTGCAGTTGCAGGTTTAAACCTCTCCAGAAGTCCACAAACATTCACAGCCTCCAGCTCCCAACTCATCTAAGCTCAAGGGCCAGCAGCACCTTATAGAGCCTCTGGGATTTTGCTACCCCGACATTCACAGCTGGGCCCTCTGGCTGTGCTCAGCGCCGCATCCAAAATGAGGCAGGAACATTTCTCATTGCCTTCCCAGGCAGTTTACCTCCAACTGCAGCCCCTGGGCTATGAGCCAAGCCAAGGGGTGAGCCAGCCAGCTGTCTCCCTTCTCTGGGACCTGAGAGCAAGCAGCACACTCTCCAGTTGCTGCAAGGATGAGATCAGTCTCCCCGCGACGCTAAAAGCTCTCCTTGAAAAATTGCTGAGCTAGCAGAAACTGCCACTTCAGTTTTACCCATTTCCTGATATTAGATAAAACAGCACCAGAGAGCTGAGCTCCTGCTAGCCCGGGCTTTGCCACGTTACAGTTACAGCTACAGCCACTGCCTTCAGCAGGTGAATACTGGCACATCTTGATTTCAACAGGAGCCAGGGCACAGCATGAATTATTTGTGGTAAGGCTGACCTATTTAACAGCAGAAAGACAGCATTCATTCGAGCCCAGATTCCCCAGAGGCTGCTGGTGTCACTTTACCCCACAGGATAATACAACCCCGTCGCTATCTCTGGGCAGGGGGGTGTGGTGGTAACTGTCCTAGGCTGTTCCTGCCATGCTCTCAACGTGTCTCTTGGAGGACAAGTGACACCTCCATACCCCTTTCGATGCAAACTACTCCTGGCTTGCAACTGCCTTCTGTTGATCAGCTTTGATCGGTGTTTTGTGACCACCACAGAACCACAGACAACACACATAGGAAGCGGAGCAGGGTGAACCCACAGGGCCTTGAAACAGCAGAGAAGTCGCTGCTGGCAGCCCCGATTCAGGCAGACCAGGGCCAGAGGATGCAAGCAGTGTTTGCAGGGTGGCTGCCAAGTTCTGCAGCTATTCAGGATGCCTCTCTGCACAGCTCCTTCTAAGCTCTTGTAGTCTCTAATATTGGCTCCCATCCTCTGTGCACAGGCCAAGGCAGCCTGTGAAGGGGTATTTCACACTGAGAAGATGCTGAAGTCTTGGTGATACATTTCTGTAGACCACCTCAGAATCACAGATCTCCACCACATCTTTGTGGACCTTACCTTTGTCTGCCAGAGACAGCGTGCTGTTAAAGTACTGCTCCTCCACCGTCCATGCTGTGTCATTGATCTTGTTGGACACCCCACAGGATCCAATGCAGCTCACCTTGATGGCTGTTGAGAGAAGACACACACGTAAGCACTGGGAGAAAGCAAAACCTCAGGTTCAGACTTGCTTCAGGTACTGTACGTGGACTTGTGCAGGAGCAGTGCCTCATGAAAACACACAGAGGGTGGAAAAATGGAGCAAAGGAATCATGTCATGCTTTCATTTCAGAAGCACATTTTCCCTTTACTCTCAGCACTATTGCACAATCCCTACTACCCCAGTGCTATTCCCAGCTGTTATCACCATTGAAGTCCTCATGCTGGTCTCCTTGGACTGTGAAAGCCCTTAACAGCAGTGATTTCAGCTCCCCGAGAGGTAACCCTCTCTCTAGTTTTCTCCCAAATGAACCAACATCCCCTCCCGATATGTACATCAGCCCCTGCGCTCAGGCTGACAGCAGAGACCTTTGTGGCAGCGATGCTCTCCTATATACTCGGGTGTCCCTGTCCGGACAGGGATGAGCAGCAAAGGGCTCTGCTGCCTCCCACCCCACAAGGAGCCAGGCATCCCACCAGCCCTGGGAGGAGAGACGTGTTTGGCACAAGCCCATTAGCCAGCTAAACAAGGTATATAGCCCTGTCTGCAGCAGCAGCAGAAAGCTGGACCCTCCAGTGCAGCATGAAGAAGCCCAGCTGCTGCTTGAATTCACAGCCCACCCACCCTCATGGACATCCCCAATCCTTGGGAGCCTGCCCCCGTGTCCTGGGGTCGGTCTCTACTTCAACGGAGTACAGCAGAAGCACTTTGCCCATTAATGCTTGTCCTGCATCAGGACTTCTGATCATATTTAATAAGCACGTTGCTCCTCAGCAGCTAGAGACCACTTTGAGTGGCTTCCTCCTCCTGTTAGAGACACAGGGCTCACAGCAAAGCCACACAGCAAGGTCTGGAAGCATTTGAGATGCCACTTGACCTTCCCAAAGCAAGCAGAGGAATTTGAGCCATCCAAGGCAAGGCACAAACATAAGTCACCCCAGAGCTTGCCCTGCACCGTGGCTTTCAGAAGGGCCACGTGGCTTTCAGAAGAGCTACCCACAAGACATTTTCAGTTAGTCTTGGCCAATTCACAGCAGGTGAAATCAAGCTCTGATGTCAACACTGGACCACAGAGACAGGCAAACGTGACAGACTGGCCTTGTTGCACAGCAGGAGATAATCTGTGGTGCTACCCCCACACAGGGAAGATGCAGGCAGACCTATCATGGCACAAACTGGGCCTTCAGGGTTGTCCCAGCCTGAAGATCTCCTGTCCTGATTCTCACCGGGTTTTACAACAGCTTTAATGGATCCCACAGAATTCCCTCACTGAATTTGTCAGGTGAACAGTTCTGCTGGCAGGAAGGTGGTAGAACTACCAGACAGACTCTTTTCCCGTTTCACCCATCGGCTCCCCTGTATTCAAGCCGCCTCTCACAGGAAGCATCTCCCTGGGAGGCAGGTGGCCCATTTGCACTGGCTTAAGAGCTCTCCCCTCCCCGCTCCACAAGCCTTTTCAGCCATGCTGATCTCGCCACCTCCGCCCACCTACCCAAACACTGAGGGCTGCAAGTGATGCTGCTTGCAACTACCTCAAACAGCTCTCCAGAGCACCCGCCTGGCCAGCGCGACCATGTCCTCCATGCTGACTCAAGACAGGGTGGAAAGAAACCCCAAACCCAGCCCTCTCTGCAGGGGGAATGCATAGCTCTTACCCCAGCCCCCTTACCTGTGCTTTGCTACGTGCATTCAGGTGGAATGGGCTCCTTCAGGGCTCAAAGTCTCTAATCCCACAATGAAGAACAGCCTCTCCTCATCAGATCTGCTGCAATATCTTCACAGCCTGATCATGACTTTGAACACCGGGGCCATCCAAGTGCTGTTTTATACTCAAGGGCAAGGGATAAGCAGCTCCAGATGCCAACTCTCATTAACCAAACATCAATATAGCAGCAAGGCCGACACATCGGCTCGTTTGTTTGTGTCTGCGATGTGCATCGGCACTGCCGAGGCAGTGGATGAACAGGAGAGCATGGCCTGCAATGAGAGCTGCCTGCGCCACGGCACACAGCACACCTGGTCTGAGCTAACACAGGTCCCCTCCCAAAGCAAACCACGACACTGAACCCCCCTGCACACCGCCGGGTGACATCCAATCTTCTCTTTTGCCAAATGGCAGAGCCAAAACCACATAGGGGTTTCGGCATCAGAAGGAGCAGGGAGCAGTTTTAGCAGGGTGGCATCCTGCGTACCCAGGCATTGGTGCCAGCTCTCATGCTCCCACCTTGGACATACCGCCACGTCTCTGGGCTCACGACAAGCCTGCCCTGCTCTGAGTTAGCCCAGATAACTCGGATGGCTCAAGTCAAATCAAGGCCAGGCTCAAATGCTCCACTCCCACATTTTCACACGGGAGATGCGAGTGAGAAAAGCCCAGCCAAGAACTGGAGAACATTCACATCCTTTGGGAGCAACAGCCCCTGAACAGGCTCACCCTCAGAAGTTTGTAGATCACCACCACCTGTTGCAACGCCCAGATAAGGGGACAATGGTCTTTAATTCAAGCCCGATTGCTGCACTGTAGTGCTGAGGCACTCCTGTTCCTGGAAGGTGGGTGGGTGGGCACATACCACATTCAAGCATATACACGCTGTGGCCCATCTCCCTTCCCACAGGAGACAGAGACTCAACAACCAAAGGCAGTGGGTTTGCAGCCTGACAATCAGAGCCAACCCTTGGCTGGTAGTCCCTGCTGCGATGGTGGACCCCCCTATAACCCACCATTAGGGCTAAAGTCACATTAAAAGTGTCTAAAAGTCTCACTGCAGCTAGCTAATGAATTCTGTGTCGCAGGCACGGGAGCTGTCAGCTCCAAGGCTTCTCAATTAACCACTGACATCCCAAACTTGTGTGGCTGCAGCCAGCCTGTGCCTATGGAGGAGGGACGGTTCCTGGAGGGAGAGCTCCGGGGCTCTCAGGCATCCTAGTCCTGCATCCCCACTGAGGGCAGCCCTCTCCAGCCACGTTCCTGACCATCACGCACCCTGGGGCTGCCGTTCCAGCAGCATGAGGGTTGCATGAGGGCAACCGAAGGGGCAGAAAGCCACATTTCAAGCCAAAAAGCTTGAAGGCAATTTCACAGCAGTGGAGAAACACTCTCTCTCATCTTCTACACCCTCCAAAGTTGCCAGCATACCGTTACCAGGCACACCAAGTCACCAGATGTAGACAAGGACAAGACTCAGAGCAGTTCAAGTGGCAGAGGATTTGTTATGGAGCATTCTCCAAACCTACTCCAGAAACACGAGCTCCCCCCGCCTCACTGGGGAAGAAATGGGACAGACAACAGCTCTGAGCAGACGCATTGCCCCGCGGCTGGGAGCGGGGCTGTGACTGGATATGGGGATCGCATGTCCCAGCTTATCCCCCAGGCTCCTGGAGGAGCCAGCAGATCCCCAGGCCCCCACAGGGTGGGCGACGCTGGGGGCAGCGGGTTCAGGGCAGCCAGAGAGCCCCCGCATTTCATCCCCACAGCCACAGCAGCAAAGCCTGGCAGCTGCAGAGCTCTCGTTCCCCTCAGGTTATCCAGAAGGTTTCAGGGGCGCCCGGTTCAACAGGTCAAACCGTTTATCTTATTCCTAACCAGGTTTTGGAGCAGCTACCCATGAAATCAGCCTCTCCATGAGCATCCCATGGGCAGAGGAAGATAACTGGGGACTTGCCTGGCTGTCGTGTATGGGCTCCTGCCCACAGGCGGGAGGAGGGACACGGGGCAGCTGATAGGCACAACTCGGGCAGGTGGCGCTGGGGGCAGCTGCAAGCTAAAACCGGTGTCGGCGGGACAGGTCTGGCAAACTGGCACCATCAGAGCTGCTGCAACTGGAGCCACCTGAGGTGCAAAGCTTGTCAGCCTGTCAGGAAGCAAAATGCACAGTCTGAGCCTTTCCACACAGGCGGGAGGAGGGACACGGGGCAGCTGATAGGCACAACTCGGGCAGGTGGCGCTGGGGGCAGCTGCAAGCTAAAACCGGTGTCGGCGGGACAGGTCTGGCAAACTGGCACCATCAGAGCTGCTGCAACTGGAGCCACCTGAGGTGCAAAGCTTGTCAGCCTGTCAGGAAGCAAAATGCGCAGTCTGAGCCTTTCCAAGGCCTCCCTTCCAGGCAATCTCTGTGCCAAGCTGCAGATAGAGCAAATAAGAAAATTTTCTACATCAGAACAGGCCAGTTCCAGTTATTAGAAACCCATTAAAAATGCCTCTGGAATCCAGTGCTACCAATGGCCCCAGTTACCACGCTCCTGTTCCCTGTTTACCCAGGCTGCTTTGAATAAATACAGGAAAAAAAAGTCAAAAAACTGCAAGGGAAGTGGAAGGGGGAGGCGAAGAGCAGCAAGCAGATGAGAAGTGAATTACAAAGCCATGCAGAAGACAAGAACCCTTCACTCCTGCAGTCCCCCGGGGTTCAGGGAAGCGGGCAGCTTCGCATCCAGCCAGACACATCTTTAGCAACGCACTACAGCACGCGCCAAATACTGGAAATAAAAGGAGACAGCTCAGCCATATCCATCTCTGCACTAAGTAAAAATAGAGATGCCAGGAGCTGGGCATGTCTGCCTTCTTCCAAGGTGATTTAAGGAGAGCAGCCATAGACTTCAAATTACTTTTTCTGGTGACCCAGTGAGCTGTACTCCTCGGGAGAGCTGGCATTGCACCTCGGGCAAGAGGAAAGCAGAGGACACACATCTCCCTCCCCTGCCAGCAGCAGGTTGTACGTGCACATCCCTACTTCCAAAATCCAGTCATGTCCTGAGCAAGCACAGTCATCGGCCACCCTGCACTTAGCAGCAGGGCCAGCCCCAGTCCCAGGTGACGCCGTCTGGCTTCAAGTCCCATCTATGTCACACACCCACTGCAACAGGTATGGGCAACAGACAGCAGCGGAGGGAAGGAGATGCCAACAGCTTGGTTGGTTTAGGTTTTCTGGGGTGGGGAGGGGAAGCAGCAAAAAGCTACAACAGTCTGGGGTGGTGGCTGTTGCATTTGGCAGCAGCTTACGCAGGACAAACAGACTGTCCCGTCGTTCCCCTTCCTCCTCAAGGACGGCCAAAGAGTTGGCGACTGAGGTCTGAGCTGGCACTGACGCACAGCCCTGGGTTTTTGCCAGCTGAAGCCTACTCGAGTCAGCACATGGGCTCGGCCAAGTCTGTTGGACCCGGAGGCTCCAGCCGTCCCTGCTGCAGAGAAGAGGGTGCCCGACCCTGCCAGCGTGGGATGAGATGGATGGCAAAGCCACCCCATGTGTCTGCACCAACCACACACAGCACAAGAGACTGGGGCACACATTCGTAACGGGCTCAGAGGGTAGCTGGGGACTGAGATACCCTTCGGAATACTTGTGCACACCTGGATCCAGATAATGGGGGAGCAGAGGGGGAGAAAGTGCTGTGGGAGATGAGCGAGTCTGCATCAGATAAGTCTTCATTTCATGGAAACCAGCCACGGGAAGCCAGAGCCCCCTTTCCTCATCCCTCTCCATCAGAGAGGGCAACTCCACGGCAGGCAGCTATCACCACATTTTAATTAGATTCCCTCAAGTTGCTGCCTGTATGCACAGAGCTGCAGGGACTGAGAGCCTCCCGTGAGCTGGGAATGAGCCACCTCTCTCCCCTCCAGCCCCGCAAGCCACAGGGGCCAGAAACAGCCCCGGGAGAAGGGAGTGATGGATCGCCCTGAGCCCCAGTGACTCCCCAGCTGATGGCAGTGGGGAGCTGCCATTGATGGGCTGTTGCGGCGGCAGCAGGAGGCCACCTCAACACACAGCACCCCGGAGTGAAACCTCTGGGTTCAAGAAACAAAGATCACAAGTTTTGGTATGCCCTGAGATCTTCTGGCCCTGTAAAGCCCCTGCCCTGGATCAAGGAGATGGGTTTGGGGTTATCCACACTCCCAGTAAAGCAGGACCAGATGGTGCTGGGAAGATGGAAAGCCTAGAAGTCAGCAAGACCTGCAGACAGAGCAAGTTACTCTCAAACAGTTTGTAGAGACTGGGTAATTCCTAGAAAAGCTCCATGAAAAGTGGACACTGAGAAAGGTGAGACCCCAAAGACAAGCAGGATGAGGCTTTTGTACTGATGGCCTTTACACAGAAACACACTGGTACAACCTCAGACACAAAGGGCTCATGTCCTCTAAGCAGGAAGGCTGGAAGCTCACAAGATACGCTACTCCCCCGGTGCCCAGCTCTCATGCACGAATATACCGTGACACTGCTAATTAAACCAACAGCTCCTCATTAATTCTCAGCTGTCCTCATCCTTTTGGGTCCATCCTGTCAGTTCTTGAGACACAAATAGTCTTGGGCATTTCACAAGCCAGTGAGGCAAGACCAGAGCTTACACCGAACGCTGGAGGCAGCAGCAGGTTTGGCACGAGGTTAAGGATTGTCTGGGGAGAATTTTATCTTCTTCCTTCCCAAGAGCCCAGCACAGGGGCAGGAAGGGGATTTGGCCTCTCATGTGGAAGGAGAGGAGTTGTCTAGAAGAGTAGTTCATACTTTCCATCTCAACTCAAACCCAAGCCTGTAGCCGGGCCCCAGGAGGTGACTTGTCTGGAGCTGACGCACGTCGAGCCGCATCTTCCACACCACCTGCAGCCTCCAGCAGACGGAGGACTTGGCTGCTGCTCCCCGTGACCCAGGGGGACATCCCACCTCCTGCAGCCTGCCAGCCCAATCGCACAAGTCACACACAATACAGCTCTTTTCTCTGAGACTGCGGACAGGCTCCCAGTGAAATACTGAGTCGTTGCTACAGTTTGACCAGTCTTTGTCCCCGCAGGCAATGCTCCTGCCATGCACAAGCCCAGCTGGGGCTCAGGAGCACCCTGCAGCCCCCTCTGCAGTGGCATGAGCTTTAGCACCATTTAGTCTCCAGAAGCGAGATCTGCTGCTCAGCCATTCCTCCCCCAGGTTGGCACTTGCCCTCTGTGCCCTGCAAGAGACTGAACCAGCCAAATCACTCACAGCAGTGGAAGGGACAGTCCCTCCCATCCTGGCCCTGACCTTTTGGTGAGCTGATTTCCAAGGCAGCAGAGCCAGCCCCGCGAGCCCAAGCTCAGCAAAACCCATCCTAAGGGCCAGAAGTGCCTGTTCTCCCCAGCGGTAGCAAAAGGGCTGTATTTACCTCCTGTCAAGCTAAGGCAGGAGAACCCAGCTGGGTCTCCCACACAACCTGCAGGAAGCCCAGACCCACCCAACACAGCCCCATGCTGCAGGAAGGCTGGACCAGCTCCCAGATGCAGCCTGTAAAAACTCCACCTGTAGCCACAACAGGGGAGTGACAGCTCTGCTGCACGGGCAAAGCAACCCAGAGCCATTATTTTGGCTACACACGAGTTATTTTAGCCAGAGTCCAACCCAGGGTGAGGAGGGACACATCCATGCAGGTAGTATTGACACACAGAGGATGTCCTCATTCTAGCAAATGCAGAAGTCTCCAAAAGGAGACTTGGGCAGGTGTGTGCCCGTAGAAAAGGGGAGCAGCAAATCTTCTCCGAGCCCTCTCCCAGGCAGGTCAATCCTCTCCCCTCTGCAAGCACTTTCTTCCATCAGGTTGAGAGCAACAGGGAAACCTACATTTTCCAGCTCCTCCTCAAAATCAGG